TGCTTTTCTGTGTTTGTCTCATTCACTGTTTCTTATAATACAGTAATATTCCATTACATTCATGTACCACAAATTGTTTAGCCATTCTGCAAGTGATGGTAGCTAGGTGCCACAGTTGACAGAATGATGGGACCTGAGTCAGGAAGACTCATTTTCCTGAGTTCAAATCCAGCCTCAGACACTTATTAGCCGTGTAACCCTGGGCAAGTCACTTTACCCTGTTGGCCTCAGTTCCCTCCTCTATAAAATACACTGGAGAAGGAAATGGCAAACTATCTCTGCCAAGAAAACCCTAAATGGGGTCACAAAGAGTTGAACCCAACTGAAAATGACTGAATGACAAAATGTTTTTAGATCTTTGCTATCACAAAAAGTTTTGCTACAAATATTTTATTGTATGGAGTCTTCTTTTTGTTAATGACTTCCTTGAAATATAATGTGAAATCTCTAGGTCAACAGGCATAGGAGTAACAAGAATTTTAAAAACAATCACTGATAATAAATGTTATATCCATCAGACAGAAATTTTTTCCAAAGTCTTCTTACTTTTCAATAGAAGGCTAATAGCCCCTTACAATGTGGACGGAAAACTTTGGTTGAAAAAAGTTTTTTCTCTCACTATTTACTCATTATCATTTGTGCAATAAAATGTTCTAAGAATGGATTTTAAGGATTGTAAGATGACAAAAGTTAAATATTTTTAAAAGGTTCTTATAAACAATCTTCTAAAGGGGAACACTTTAATACCATAAACTACTTTAGATTTTAACAACTCTAAGACTGGCAAATAAAAGTTTCACCTTTCACATGAAGTCAACTTGATTAATTTAAACAAAATGCTGATCCATCCTCCTGATACTAAAAGGGATGAAAGAGAAAGGCTGCTACAATAACATGTCAACTATTATTATCTGTAGTTTAAATGTATTTAATGAATTAGCAAACGAGAAACATTAGGGGAAGAGGACATGACCAATTTAGTTTGTTAGTTAGTTCTTTTCTTCCTTAAAAATCTTTAAATCAGGCCTGAAGAAATCATTTGTTGTACTGGATTATTTTGTTGCTAAAAACCATGTCAATGAGGTATTACTTTTATGAGCCACTGAGGTGACATGGGCTTAGTTTGATTTTAGCTTTCATCATAACTAAGATTTTATGTGGAAAATGTGAAGTTCATATAATGTATGAACAGAACAGGTGTTTAATAAATTTTGGCTGAATTGAAGTTTGCATGGCTTAAAAGATAATTTCCCATCTCAAAAACTCTTAATAGTTTCACAAGTCATTAAAAGGGGAGAATATTGGACATTAAGGGCAGGGTGGAGATGGGTATTGTGAGGCTCCAATGAGTTAATGGATGTAAAGTACTTTGCAAACCTTGAACTATTATGTAAATGCCAGTTATTATTATTATTGCTCATTCATTAAGCTTTCTACTGTATCCTATTGAGCTCAAACAATGGTCATAGAGCTATACAGAGTAAATATTTAGCAACCAGGCTGGGGGGAAGAGGATCAGAGAAAAGAGGAATGTATGCACACACACTTTTAAGTTTCATCTACATTATTAACACTTTAACTCTGTATAATCAGCAAAATAATAAATTAAGCTCAGGTTATAGCCAATGCTGATTTATGAGGTGTTAATGCTCAGAAAGTTTAACAGTCTGCCTGAGAATTAGACCTGGCTCCTACACACCGCAGGACCTAGGGTTAATCTGACCTCAGAAACTTCCTAGGTCATGACATCATAGGCAAGTCACAGTCTCAATTTTCCTGTCTGTAAAGTGTAATAAAAATATTTCTCATAGAGTTATTGTGATGAAAGTGCCTTTCAAACTTAAAGTATAATATCAGTGTAAATTAGCATTATGTACTTACATTAACTATAGCACCGATACCATGTTTTTGTGTAACTGCCTCTCAGTGAAAATATCAGAGGGTTTTCTTGTTTCTGGCCCAATGCCAGTTGAGGAGACAGTTTTTTTTTTAAATGGGCAAATGGGGTAGACTAATCAATGTTTATTTTTTGAAAGAGTGACCACAGAATTCCAAAATGAAACATAGCTTTAGAAGAATACACATACATGGCTGGTGAAAAAGTCAGAAAACAATAAAGCTAGAGAAGGCTTTTTTTCCCCAGTATTCATTTATAAGCATAGTCTATCTCCAGAATTGTCTAATATTTTGGAATTTGCCAATTTTGGCAATGCTTTTCAATTTCTACTTAGAAAAGTGTCAGAGAATCCTTTCTCCCTGGGCTTAAGCAGAACAAGGACAAGCTGACTGATTTTCAAAAGACAGCATGCATAATTAAAAGGAGCATGGATTTGGAGTTGGAAGACCAGGGGTCTGAATCGTAGCTCTTCCTGTATGACCCTGGAAGTCACTAAGCCTCTTTGAATGTGTTTCTTCATCTATAAAATGGAAATTTGGATTAAATGGCCTCCAAGGTATCTTCCAGCTCTAAAATTAGATATTGAATGCTGAGTACAGGCTCCCTTCAGGTAAAACTGGAAATCAATCTAAAGGGTTTTGCTACTTACAGAATACAATCTAATGCATGGGTAAAGAAACATTTTTTCAGACTGCTTCTATCTTTTGTACCTGCAGTAAAATGTGTTTTCAAACCACAGGTTCGCCTGGAGGATGGCAAGGCTATTCATATTGTTAAATAACTGTAGAGCTTAAGCTGTGGAAACAAGTTTAGTGTCTTGTAATATTTTTTTAACCCAATGTTACCTCACTGATTCAACTGATAATGGTATAACTGAATGATGTAATAACATGAAATAATACTATGGAAGATATTTCAGGATAGTTGATTTATTATGTTAGTATTTAGGTATCGCATCTCACAAACTGCTTCTGCCTAGGTTTCTGTTCAAAACTAAACATTAAAGAAAATTTAAGAGAAAATTGTAGACTGATGTCATTTATAGAAATTACATCTGGTGATGAAGACTATCCTTAGGCTAAACCTTCCAAATTCTTCAAATGGTCAAGGGACTATGTCATATTGTATCAAAAAACCAGTAAGTGACATAAGAGAATAAGTACAAAATGATGGCAGTCTACTTTGTTAGTGATGGAGGAAGTCACTTCTAATGTTGATGGATTAAAGACACTGATCACAACAACGAAGAGTAGAGTGATTTTCTAGAGGAATAAAGTATCACTTAGGAGAAAGCTATTATTAACTGTGCTGAAAGGCAGGTATGTTACATATCCTAGTCAGTCATGCAAAGCTGTACATGCTTTATTCCACCTATATGAAAAGAGGAAAATAACCGAGAAGGAAACTGACATCAAAAACGTTTTGGAGAACTCAAGTTTAGGTCACTGCTAGGATCACTACCCATTTAGCCTTTTGTTCTATACCATCTACACTGTCATATTCAGTTACACCTATTGCATAACATGATAACTAATGTTCATAATGACCCAAGGAAAGGTTAGGTTATGAACTGTATTGTTTTTAAATAAAAAAGGAAACATAAGTACATTTTATAAAAGTTTCCCCAAATGGCAAAATTATAAAGTTCTAGGACTTACAGCTTTGTGCTGTAAGAAAACTTGACTGCTGAAAATGGCTCATTCTAGGGGCAGCTAGATGGTGCAGTGAATAGAGCACGGGCACTGGAGTCAGAAGGACCTGAGTTCAAATCCTGCCTCAGACACATAACATTCGCTAGCTCTGTGAATCTGGGCAAGTCACTTAACCCCAATCACCTCACCAAAAAAAAAAAAAGAAGAAAAAGGAAAAAAAAAGAGTCATTCTGAGGGCTTAAAGTAGCAGAGCATTTACTGTGAGAAATTCTGATACTAGTTAGAAAATCAACAGGTAATAACAGTTATCCCTTCCATTTCCCCATGGTTTCAATGTATTGCAAGTCAGCATAAGAGATTAAGTGGGAATTTTTTGGGGAGTTTTGCAGAAGCTGCAGACAACATGCAAAGCCCAGCAGACAACATAGAAAAAATTTAGAAACTCAGAAATGCATAACCAAAATTTTACAGTAAGGTAAACATCCCATAACAAAAAAAGAAAAAAAAAATCAGATTTCTTCTCCTTTCTCTGGACAAAAGGAGCGCCAAAAAATTTTATGTGGATTTACTAGATCACTGGGGCACCGTTCCCCTAATCCCCTTGATGTAGAAGGGGCAAGTGTATACTATTTTAAAATGTAGTTACTGTGCTGCACCATCTACCACATTTCATTATCTCAAAATGTAAATAGAATCCATCATTTGATTAGTTTTGAAAGATACTCTACGTATGTAGCAAACAAAAACACTGCCCATCAATCTTCTTTAATTAGAAAAGCTTACCTTTCGGCTTTGTTTTAAAGGAATGAAAATGGTATTGGTATTCAATTCTCTGCCAAAGTCTCACGACAGTATAGTGACAACCCTGGCTTCTCAAAGGTTTTTGCAAGGGGACCTAGACTCTGGTACATCCTATCTAACTGCCACCAAGTATCTCGTGCCAGGCCCAGATAGCCATCACCTGAGAATCAGTCTGGTTAGATCAGAAATCCTGGTCACTAGGTAGATTTCTTTTCACCACAGTAACTCATGAAGACCTCCTACTAAGGAACAGAGACAGTATAATCTGCATCAATGGAGGAAATGGCCACACAGGTGAAAACATGGACCTTTTGAAGTAGTACAGAAATAAGAGAAGTAACTGATACATTGTAGATCTTGGTAACATCCTCTTTCAAATATTGGCAGTCTCCTCATTTAGTAGAATTATGTATATTGTCCAAGGCAAATTACGTTCTTACTTTATTTGATGGGGGGAAAAAACCTTTTTCATCAATCTGTACTATATAGTTGTCATATTCCTTAGCAACAATTGAGACACTTTCACTGAAAGCAGAAAAACAGTCACAGGACATACCAAACCAAAGTTGCTCTGTTATGAAATCAGCAACCAGAACTTAAAAGAATTATGTAAAATGGCAGAAAAGAGTATGGATCTTGTCAGGTCAAACTGATGGAGGAAATTCAATTTATTTTTTTCTCTATTTTTTGCCCATAAATTGTTATACAAATTTAGGACCCAATTAAAATCACTCTCAACAGAAATTTCACCTGCTGTTCTAAAATCTTGGCCTGTTAATTCAACTGACACAACCATTCACAATTTCCAGGACTGTAGATAAAACTGTAAAGTATAAAATCATTAATGTAAGCTTAAAATGTAGTTTTCATCATTTCTCATTTAAAAGTAGTTATATTCCCTCCTCATGTGACAAAAAAACCCTTATAAAGTAACTCTATACTAAACTTTTATTCATAAAGAGGCTCATTTGCAATTTCCAATTTCTATTATACTGCAAATTAATTACGTTCTGTAAAATACTTAAGATCTTTCCATCTCAAAGGTAGCTTATACTGGATTATCAGGAAAACCATAATGCCCAATGATAGGCTTATAATTTTCTTTGTTAATGCTTGAAAAGCACTGTGAAAATGAAAAGTGCTGCTAAGTGCTATTATCTTTCTTAAATTTCCATTTATACTGTTTCATTTTGAAATAAACATATGCAACATGTTCATGTTTTGATATGTATTTTTATTTCCCTGCAGTTTTCACTTATCAAGAACAAGTAACAGGGAAAGTTGTCTGAACTAGTGCATAAACAAACATTCTGAAACACCACTACACATATCTAATTTACAAGAACCGTATAAAAAAAGTCACTAAAACACTACACTACGAAGGTGTCCAACACTTACAGTCAGACTTTTTCCAACCCGTTACTTGCCTTGTAGCCACAGGAAAATTCTCCGAAATTGAAAAGACAATCTTGCCACAACCCTCCCCCCTCCCACCACCTGGGATGGCTCGATATCTAGACATCCAATAATTATTGCAATGATATAATGCAATACATACCTGGTAAAATATTCTTTATGTGGTGTGTTACAGTTTTAAAGCCGTTAAAATATGTAGTCTTCAGATAAAATGTAATCAGTTGAAAAATTTTCTTATCTGCACAATTTATATGTGCTAGATGCATAATTTTTCCTAGTCAGTTTTTTTCTGTGTAATTATTTTTTATAAACTGGTATTATAAATAGAAATATACATTCAAAATATATGGAAAAGTGAGTTACTACATTAAATTTGCATGTATCGATCCATCCCTTTCCCCTGCACAGTAATAGAAAATACTATTTTGCCTTGAACTTCATATTTGACAGTGAAATGCCACTAAAGTATTTACCAAAAAGTCCATCTAGTCAAATTGTGAAACAAAATGAACCAAGTGAAAACTTTACAGTTCCTTTAGAAAAAAATTACAAGAATTTCATTTCCTAGCTATGAATCTTTAACTTTTTAGACACAAAGTTTGATTTATTTGTACAAGATACAAAATGTAAACATGGCAAAATAAATAGTTAAAACAAGTGATGCAGGATCCCATTTCATGCTCATGATCCCATTAAAGAATTATTTTTTAAATCCATTCAGTTGCAAATTCAAGTGCAAAAGCATGATGATGAATATCTACTATTCAAGTAACAGAAATAATATTGATGATACAAATAAACTATTTTACAAGGTAGTGATTTTCCCAATTTTACAAAATGTACATTATATATCGATTTAATATACGATATATTGATAGTTCAATAGGTCCATTTTAGTTCTCTGTGATCCACAGAGTGTTGTATTTTGCATTCATTTGAAAAGAAATTACTACACACCATCAGCACAGGTCAGCGCCACCAGCTGGAGGTTATGTCACTTCCATAGCTACTGTTGTTTCCGCTATTCCATTTAAACCCAATCTTTCTGGTTCATGGTTCTCTCTGAAACAAGAGTAATGATAATATAAATATTAGTGTTTTAAATATGACGCTGACATTGCTTATGTCCTGAGAAACCTTTATATGAGCACTAATTCTGAACACATACAAAACAAAATTAAAAATCAAGTACTGACATAACTAGACTGGAAAAAAGAAAGTATATTTCTTGTCACTGAAGAAATCCCTTTAATCTTCTCATAACTTGACTATGCTGTTATATTAATCAAAATAATATCTTTAGCCAATCCACTGTATTTGTAAAGAAATATTTAATAAAGCTGATGATATGAACAATTTCAATATGTAACATGAGGTAATTGAAAGGTCTTCCGAAATATCTTCTGTGGTCAAGACATATCCCAGAAACATCATGCATAGATTTACTTATAGTCTTTTAAAAATTAGTATGCATGACTGTATGCTTATCAATCTATTAAATATGGCATCCCTGTCTAACCACCTGGCTATCCTCAAAAGTTTCCCATTAATCAACTTAATAAATATCTGAGAATTGTATACTATATGCAAGTTGCTGTGCTGGGGGAAGAAGAATTAAGATATCATCACTGCTTTTAAGGAATTTTGTGTATTTTTAAGAGACATATAAAGAAGGCTGAAAACTTACTCTATAGTAAAAACCAATCAATTAATTAAACAAAAAGCATGTTTTAAATACCTACTATACAGTGGTGGGTACTGTGTCAAATGCTGAGGATACAAATACAAAGAATGAAATGATCCCTGACCAAAAAGGGCTTATTTTCTATAGAGAAAAACAACATATAACTATATAAAATGTTTAAAATTAATACACAGAAAGGGGGAAGGGTAACAAAAGCAGCTGGGAGGATCAGGTAACGCTTATATAGGAACCAGAATGTAGGGTGAGTTTTTTACAATACTAGGGAATCTAAGATGGAGATGAGGAGTGTATTGCAGGTATGGAGGTCCGCTGTACAAAGGCAAAGAGATGGAAAAAGGAATAAGAGTAAGGCCAATTTGTTAGACCAAAGGAAAGAAATGAAAGAAAATAATGTCTAATATGCTAGAAGAGGAAACCTGGTTTTCTAGTATGATTCTGACATTTAGAGGCTGAATGTCCTTATACAAGTCATTTAATTTTTCTGCACCCAGTTTCCTTATCTATACAATGACAGGACTGGAGTATAGAATTTAGAAGGTCCCTTATAACTCTGGAATTTATTCTGTTCTAGACAATGACACATACCTTGCTATGCTGCTGATGGCACTGCTAGGAGTCACCTTTGGCACTCTGTCCATACTGGCAGCAACTGTGGCAAGTTTTAAGGCTGTTGGCGATGGTGCTGAAGTCCTTGTATTGATATGCACATTGACTGGAGAAACAACACTGACATTGTTGAGGTGCACTGCATTTGTCAGGCAGGAATTGTTCATGGGAAGTGTCTGAGGACTGCTTGTGCACAATGCTGGGATTAAGTGGTTTGTGGTGGTGTGGCCAACTGTCCTTACAAGTTGTACAGTTGAAATCCCTGGGCTGGATGATAAAGCCATATTGGTGGAGTACAGAGTTTTAGAGGTTCCTAGGAAGGAAAGAAAGGTCATCTGGTGAAAAGGTGAATGAAATTATTTAAAATTAAACTATAACAAAACAAATATTTATGCTAGCAAATATTTTACTAGGATTGAAAAAAATCAATATCTTTATTAATGAAAACGTAAATTTTTTTAAAAAACAGGAAATGAAAATTTTATCATTTCTATAGTGAGGCTCTGAAAACTAGCAAATTATATTTAGAATTTTGCCATCTTTTCATTTTCATTATCTAGAAAGAGCATACAAAAAGTGAAATGCATATTGTGGGAAATTCACATTCTGTTGAAAATGGGTAATTATAATTAGATGAAGCAATGCACCCCCTATTTTAGGGGTATTTTGATAAAAATGGAGAGGGGAAATTAACCCATATTCAACGAACAGACATCTAAGACCGAATAAGGAACAAAATTAAATAAGACAAAAATAGCCTGCCCATTAAGTGGCCTACTTTTAAGTACTATTCCTTTCATATACTGGTACTAAATGTTTGCCAAGGAATCTTAGCCATCGTTCTTAACTACCGTAAACTCACCCAAAATTACTCCTGCCCAATCCTTCCTAACACTGTCACCCACCATTTTTCAAATGGCCTCTATACCCAATTCTTCTAACTTAGGCAGGCTGACAAAATGTTTTAAATTATACAGAACTAACCTAATCACCCAAACTGTGTTTATGCCCACATCTGACCTCATTATTCCCATCATTACCACCCTTCATTGCTATGTTACTTCTAAAGTAAATAAACATCTTTGCTACATGTAATACATTCACCTCCCACAAACCTAAAACTCACTGAAGGGAACCATGGAAGACACAGCTTCCAGTTGCCCTCAGTATTCTAGTAAACTAGAGAAAGTGGTATGTAAATTCTAGAAGTCGAGAGCACATTTTGGAGACTGAGGCAGATGGAAATGACAGTTTGCATTTTATTACTGTTCATGGAAGACCTGGCATGGGTACCAATATGGATGTATAATCTGTAATAAGGAATTCCATCAAATAAACAGGAAAAAGTTTTGGTGTTCTAGCAGATAGACAGAACATTAAAGGGTGACAGATGCAAAAATAATAGTCTCTGAAGACCCATGGCAGACTGGAAGGACAGCCAGGCTTCCATATCAATACTGATCAGGGTAAAGGTGAGCCACTTGTATACACAGATATTTATATATTCAAAGACTGGAGGTTTAGAACTGATTTCACCTCTCTAAATATCTCTCTCTTCAATTGTGGCTGATACATCTGACATTTATTGTCCCAAGTGTAATGCAGTGTTGACATGGTATATAAGCACAATGGGTTAGATAAATGGTGATGAGATTGTCAAGAAACTAGGAGGAATAAAGAATAGTAAGGATAAGTACAGAAAAGATTAGGCTAAATCTGAGTTCTAGGGAGAAGAAAAGAAGAAAGGAAGCTATAATTTTCTTTTCTTCCATCTAGAATACCAAGCTACTGACATTCTTCTCTATCTCATTATCTCCCTCCCACAGGTATAAACCTAATCCTCAGAAAATACCCAACTGAAGTATTTCAATTTTGTGACATTTCTCCTAGGTTGATAAATTAAATTCACATCACTAAGAGGCAGGAAGAGTATAATATTTCAAATTGTGTTAAATCTTTTAGCTAACTTTCGGACACTAGTCAATTACTGACCATTAATTATAACATGTATAAAAGTGGAAAAATTATAAATGATACGAACTATAAGATTTATTTTAAAAAATATCTCTGTGAATAAAGTTTTAATATATAATCTTTTCCATTCTATTGCCATAAATGTCATAGGATATTAACAAAGAGGAAATCAAAATCTAACTTCGTGAATAACATGACTGGCAATGTGGTACAGTGGAAAAGGTGTTGAACATAGGGTCATAGGATGTAAGTTTGAATCCCAGGTGTGCAACTTTACTTGGCAAGTCATTTATCCTCTCTGTTTCTTAGCTCTGGGTCTATAACCCTAAGTTGTTCCAGTCAAGACCATTTGAAACGTCAGCCTTACCTGAAGGCTGGACAACACCATTTATATTACTGTGGCTAGTGCTCTGTTCCTTGGTCACCTCACTGCGAGTTGGAACTGGTGCACTGACCACTGCAGATGCAGCAAAGTGGGCGCTGGCTGAGTCAAGTGTTTTAGACATACAGTCAGAGGTGCTTGAGCCCTACAAAATGAACAAAGTTAAATTCTTAATTCTCTGCTTGTGACTTCCAAAGCACACTGAAGAATGGGATGGCCCTAATAGGCTGTTGCCTTCCCCACTCTGGGACCATTTCAAAAATCATAAATGAAAACATCTAGATTCTGAGATCCCTTGAAATTCTCAGGTTGCTGGACTTAGGACCCCACAACCAGTGCAAATACTTCATGGAATAATACAAGTCCTTTTAAGAAAATACTGAAACTCCAGTCAACAGTCTTCATTATATGAAGATCACTAAAGGAAGTAACAGTCCATACAGTGGACAGAACTTTTGCTCTAGAACCAAGGACCTGGGTTCATATTCCAATTCCTTGTGATACCTACTATCTATGTGACCTTGGTTACATCACTTATACTTCCTGGGACAAAGTTTTCTTATCAGTAGGAGAAGGAAGTGGTCTGTGAAGTCCCTTTCAGCTTTGGATATAGGATTCCCCCAGATAAGATAGAAACTGTTGCTGTCTGAAAACCATAGTCAGCATCAATATGGGTAGATCCTACTAGGTTTGTCAACCAAAAGATCTGGATCCAAGATCATGATAGTATACAGCTGAAAGAGGTCTAGACTCAGATGTTTAGAAATATATTACAGCCATTTTATTTTCACTGTTGGCCAAAGTTCATAATCAAATTAATTTGTACAATTATCTTGGAATACTGACCAAAATAATGATAAAGTGAAGATGAAATCTGAGCAATTTTATTTCAATATGCAGATAATAAAACTTAATAAAACCCATATGTATTACTTACATTAAAACATCACAGTGATTTCAAATTTGAGGCATATGAGGGAAAAACAGTCCCAGTATTCTTATTTTTGTCCCTACTATATAGGCATATAGTCTTGTCTATGACTTACTAAAGACCCTAATTTCTGGTGACAGTAGATTCTGTTTTGCAAAGGACTCCTCATTCCTCCAGGGAAGGTATAATGACAGACAGAAAGGCAGCAAAACAGAGTGAAGTGACTGGTTGGTTCCTTTGGAATTATTGAACTAAGGCATAATAACCTTTCATTTAAAATGAGCATAACAATATAGTGTTTGTTTAAATAATTATTAGAAAATAATAAAATATATCAGAAAAGTTCTATTTCTGGATAAATATTTTCAGTTATACACTATCCTAACATCTTTAGTATTCTTAGAGTTTTTTTCCTCATCATGAAAGCATTAAAAATATTATCTGACTCAATGAAAAATTCTAAATATCAAGAATAAGTAAAGGAAATTTACTTTTTCAAAACATACAGATTAGTTGAAATTTAATGTCCCTTCTAAATCCTAGAGCAGCAGTATCACAGTAGTCTTTATGCTAAACAGAAGTAAAAACTTAGACAAAAAAGGAAAGTCATAGAATGATTTACCTGTGCTTTTGGATGTGTCTGTTGTGAGGAATGCTGAGATTGCTGTTTCTGCTGAAGCTGAGCAAGTTGCTGCCTCTGCATTTGAACTAACTGCTGTTGATGTGTCTGAAACTGCTCCTCTGTGATACCCCCCGTTACTGTGAAAAAGACATTAATTTCAGAAATAAGTAAACCATAAGAGGTAATTTTAAAAATATTCTCATAAAATAATCATAAATCAGAGTAAAAAAGTGAAATGATATTAAACCTTTATAATGAGATTATAAGCATATACAGGGCATATATTATAAGCATATACATTTATAATGCGAATATAAGCATATACAGAGAACACAGTTAAGATGAATCTTTTGAAAAAAAGCTTATTCAAGGGCCATAATGAAGTTTAGTAACAAACTTCCTAGATGTAACTATACTTACTGTTTCATCACTACTAGACTGCAAACTCCATGAAGGCAGGAACAATGCTGTATTCTTCTTTGTATCATCCCCAGTGACTATTACTTCATCAAGCAGGTGCTTGCTAAATGGTTACTGAATTACAACTCTATGATGTAGTTTTTACCTTTTGAGGTTAGTAGTTAATTCTACATTCTGTAAATAACTTGCTACACTTCTAACATTAAATAAAACCACTATGCTCCCCCCAACCCCACCCTCCTTTTTTGGTTAAGAGCTATGATTTCATCAGTGCAGCAAGCTTCTTGTGCAAAAACTCTATAAACCTAGGCAGATCAGCAACTCATCTTCAACTTAAAGAGTTTTTTGAGATTTGCCAAGAACATTTAACAGGCAAATAACCTGTGCTCACACAGCCAGCATGTATCAGAATCCACTACTCCATGCTGCTATTCTAAATTCCCTGTTTAACCAAGGGCAATGAAACAACAAATAAACTATACCTTCGATAATAAAAATAAAGCCATTTAAAAAATGTAAATGGTGCAAATTTGGCTTCCCAAATACTAACAGAAAATAGGCAGCATTTACTGACAAAGTACTTGGATACCATGGCTATTCAAATTAACTCACACTCACAAACTCAATGAATAAAAGAAATCAGATCTAAATCAATAATTCATACAATAAACAAGTTGGAATGTTCTAAAAAAGTGAAAATCCAATCCACTGCTTGATCAAATGTCTCATAGCTACAAAAATAGATGTAAGAAAGGCTAGTGGATCTAAATCAAAAACAAAAAAAATCACCTCCTTCAAATAAAATTCTCAAGATTTTTGTCTGAGGGACCACCTCTGGAAACTTAAACCAAGCAAAACTTCCTGGAAGAAAATGTGCAAATTGTATGTACTTAATGCCTGTTCACTGATAATTAAAACACAAGAATATATATAGACAAGAAGATATATAGATTCTCTCAGAAATGGAATGAGGGAAAACTAAGGTACACAGAAGTTAAATTACTTGCCCAAGGCTATCCAGCTAGTTAGGAACACAGCTGGGCCCAAAATCCTGCCCGCTCTCCTCACCTAAGACTCTGTCCACTGTCTTTTGTACTATACAAGGCTGAACACCCATTTAACACCATCATTTTTAAAATGACTAGACCCCACAAACTTATGACAATATCTACCCCAAAAGCACACGATTAAACACTGAATTTTGTAAAAATATTTTCCATATATATGACATTGGAATTTTTGTTTCACATTTTTTTCTTTATTCCTTCCTTCCTCCTCTTTACTCTTTGACTTGCAATCAAAAAATGAGTATTTGCTAATACTATGTACACGGCACTATATGAAGTACCAGGGGAGACACAAAGAAAAGCAAGCCTTCACTGAAGCAGTATAGTTGGTAAAATGACATACATACATACATCTATGTCTGTATATGTGTGTGTGTGTATATATATGTATGTGTGTATATAAATATATATGCATGTATCTATATCTATATATAGATGTGATATATAAATATAAATGTGTATCTATGTGTGTATATAGTGAAAAGATAAATTTAAAAACATGACAATACATGAAAAGTGACAATCAACACAATTAACTATATAGATTACTATCTACTCAACTTAGGCTAGTACATCCTGAATGCTTGCCAATCATTCCTATATCTACCACTGTCTATTATAAGAATGAGCAACAGCAGCACAAAGCAAAAGTTGTGTGTCTTAGTCTCCATTTTCATTAAAAGCATAGGCTTTTCCATTCCGTGAGTTCTATAGGCTCCAGATCTGGGTCAATGCTATTCTAAAGGGCAGATTTAGAAAATCTAGCCTCAGATTCAGTTGAATCTTTCTTTAATGTTATCACATCTCTAGAAACCTACAATACTATTCTAGAACATTCTCAACAGAATTTTTATTGAAAGATGATGGGAAAACAACTTTCAGGTAATATTTTCTATTTTTTAAAAACTCAGCAATCTGAGATTATAATACTCACTATAAAGATTTAATATCCACTATTTCTGTAACACATCAGTCATCCTTATGAACTATCAACAAAATGATTTCTTCATATCTTCCTTTTCTGGAATCAATGCAAGTATTAACATAAAAACTTTAAAACTACAACAAAAATAAGACTTTTTAAAATTTTAAATCCAGGACCTTGTAAATCAAATGGAAATTTCAAGTATACATAAACTTCCATGAACTTGGGAAAAAAGGTTTGAGAAATAGATAAACATACATGATATAAAAAGTAAACTTTTAAGTTACATTGAAAAACAATACACATAACCAAGGCCTAGAAAGGAACCTAATAAATTTTTAAGAAGTGTATTTGCAAGTGTGTCAACATGCATTCCCCTAAATACAATGCTTATTAGGTCTTTCCACAAACGTGCTCTAAGTTGTCACTAAAAAAGTGAGAAAGTATAGTTTGTCTTCTTTTGAGGATTGAATAAAGTAAGTAGGAAATGAAATGTACATTCAATGAATAACTTTAAATCTAAAGAAGAAGGAATACAAAATACATTTTTATATTTAAGATTTATATTTTAATAGAATTTTTTTGAGGGAATAAATTAGGATATCAATAGAATTTTCTTCTCTTTCCATCTTCTAAAAATGGGAGTATAGTAAAACTTTGCTAATTTGGAAAGAGGATAGAAAACTGAACTCTAACCTCTATCCAAATGATCATAGATTCTACATATATAAAAACTCAAATTGTTTTTAGGCTATCTCTGAAACCTGGCTTTTCTTGAACTAGGAATCTATCCACTTGGGATACTGTATTATTACTTTCCTCAAATTTTATTACTACAAGTAATTTGGGGAAGCGGTGGATCTATGATTTCATTTGTGTAAGGACCTTCTGGTGAGAAAACTCTGTTCAACAATGCATTTCAGCACCTGTTCTTCAACTTTGAGGTCTAGACTAGGTGACCTGTCCAGTCATAAAATCAGTCATACGACTTATGCCAAGAGCTTCTTAACTTTGAGGCTAGCTCTCTATCCTTTATACCATGCTGTCTGTCACTTTTAAGGAAAAAATGCTGAAATCCCTCCTCAGATAATTGCTTGCCAGCTATGTTATCCTAGGCAAGTCATACTACCCCTTGAACTTCAGTTACCTTATCTATAAAAAGAGGAAAAGAACAGCATTGTACCCCATAGGGTTGTGGTGAAGATCAAATAAAATAATATAGGTAAAAGTACTTTGTGAATCTTAAAAACTAATATAAAGATGAACTATTAGTATTATAATTGATAGGAAACAATAATTAGTAACAATCACAAAATAAGATATACACTTTCATCATCCTAGGATAGGAAAAATGAGAGAAAACTCTCCAGTGCTTACTAATCAATAATTCATTAAGAACATAGGACTTAGAGCTGGGCTTTTATGCAGAAATTTACTACTGGTTGTTTTTTTTTTTAACTATTCTTTGATATTCTTTCCTACCAAGGCAGCAATAGTTGGAAATGTTCTCCACTCCTACCATTACAGAATGATTGCTTTTAAAGTTTCTTGGTCTTTAGGTATTGCCCATTACAGGATAACAGAAGTTCCAGACTGAGATAGAACCTCAGAGATTGTCTAGTCCAATTCCTTCATTTCACAGGTAAGGAAATCAAGATGCAACAAGGATATGACTTGGCCAAGGAAGTTTATGTAGTAAACAGAAGATTCAAGCTTCAAATCCAATGTTCCTTCCACTACAGCATGGTTGTTTCCCATGCTAAAATAACTCTTTTATCAGGCAGCATGCAAACGGTCACTGTCTTAAGATCATGGCTGCTCTTTTCAATGGGCATTCTTTTGTTAGTTTTTTCCCCCAGAGAAATTTATGCCACTTGCCATAATATTTCTATTTTCTTTTAGTCAGCTTTATTTTGCTGGGCACGGCTTAAAGACAATCAAAGTAAAATATGTTTATTACATATCTGAGTACTAAAACCCTAATTCACTAGCATTTGTATGGATGTCACAGCAACTGAATTACTAACTACTAGCCTGATAAGGAAAGTGTAAAGGCACTAAATGATTAAGAAACACAAATACCAAAAAGACATTCAAATTTGGATGTTGGCTGTCTGATCATGTTAACATGTTTACACTATTCCTTTGCAAAGTTTTACTAATATAAGCAATTTTGCTTGTGTTACCAACATGAAACCACCTGTATGTTTCATGTTAAAATTGAAATTGAAATTATATGACTTACACCCTATGGCATAAAGAGAAAAAATTCTCTATGGGAGAAACTAAAAAAGTGATATAGGTTATGTTTGAGGTCTTTAATCAGTGTCATATCACAGGAATAATGAAGCAATTCTATTTTGTTTTCTTTCTACTTTAAACTACTGTCATGATTACCCATTTTGGTAAGTGAAATTACATATTGAGTTTTTACAGAAGTAGCAGCATCTAGTCAAAAAACTGCCAATTAAAATGGAAAAGGTTTTCCCCCCATTCTGTATCCAAGAATTTGCTTGGGATATTGCACTGAAGACATACCCATCCTAAACACATCAGACCCTATACTAAGCAAAATGCAAAAAACATTCCCATATATGTTCATGGCATGGATCAACCAATTTAATTAAATACTGGAAAGCTGCTACACTTCTGAAACAATATTAAATCTACATTTATATACTTCATCGGAAAAGGTCAGAGATCCCTTCCAGTTTTAAATCTGTGA